ACATCTGCACTGATGATCTCAAAACCAAATTTCAAGTCCCCACATCCTTTGCAGCAGTCTAATAAGAATCAAGAACGGCCAGTGTGTGATTTTTGTCACAAAATCGGGCACATCAAGGCAAAGTGCTGGAAGATTCACGGCAAGCCAGCTGAGTTCACCCCTTCCAACCGAGTCTCACGCAATACCAAAGGAGGCTTCCTCGCTGCATCTGGAGATCAAGCAAACACATCAAGCGACACCTTCTCCTTCACCAAGGATAGCCTAGAACAATTGTTTCGGTCCTGAAATACTCATCGGTCTGCTAATACCAACATCAATACTCCATATACATCAGTTTCAAATACCCCAACCTCAAATATCTCAGCTCATCCTTCATCATCTCTGGCGCAAAAAGGTATCTTAGCAGCCGCCCTTAGTGTAAGTTTAGAAAAATCCAACCCTTGGATCATTGATTCAGGGGCTACTGATCACATGACTGGGTCTTCCTACATGTTTTCTAATTACTTTCCTTGTTCGGGTAATCAAAAGGTAAAAATCGCAGATGGTTCCCTATCTGCAATTGCTGGAAAAGGTTCTATCATTATATCTCCGTTTATTACCTTAAACAATGTCCTACAAGTGCCCAACTTATTATGCAACCTTGTGTCAGTCAGTAAACTTGCTCACGATTCTGATTGTGTTGTAAAATTTGTGTCAAATGGTTGTGTGTTTCAGGACCAACGCTCTGGGAAGACGATTGGTAGTGCAAGAGAAAGTAGTGGACTCTACTATCTTGCTACTGACATCCTCTCGAGTAAACAAGTTCAGAAACCATGTTCTTCTAGTTTTTTATCCTTAGAGAATGAAATAATGTTATGGCACTATCGACTAGGTCATCCTAGCTTTGGTTATTTACGTCATGTGTTTCCTATTTTATTTAAAAATAAGGATGCTAATTCATTTCAATGTGAGATTTGTCAAATTGCTAAACATAAACGTTCTGTTTATCCTTCTTTGCCTTACATGTCATCTAAACCTTTCTCTCTTATTCATAGTGACATATGGGGACCATCTAAGATTAAAAATCTTTCTGACACTAGAAACACTTGGATTTATCTTCTTAAAGAAAAATCAGAGGCTGCAGAAACATTCAAAAGTTTTAACTCTATGATTAAAACACAATTTGGAGCTCAAATACAAGTCCTTAGAACAGATAATGGTAGAGAATTTTTTAATTGCACTCTTGGTTCATTTCTCGCAGCCCAAGGCATTCTCCATCATAGTTCTTGTATTATTACACCTCAACAAAATGGAGTTGCCGAAAGAAAAAATAGACATCTACTAGAGGTTGCCCGAGCTCTTATGTTTTCTATGAATGTTCCAAAACGTTTTTGGGGAGAAGCTATACTTCATGCTGCATACCTAATTAATAGGATGCCCAGCAAAGTGCTAAACTATCAAAGCCCTTTGAAAACTTTACAATTATCATATCCTCTTAACAGAACTTTCACTGGTTTATCACCTAAAGTATTTGGCTGCACTAGTTTTGTCCACATTCATGATCTTAACAGAAATAAACTTGATCTGAGGGCAATAAAGTGTATTTTTTTAGGTGTTTCACCAACTAAAAAAGGATATAAATGTTATGACCCAAGCTCGGGAAAAATATTAGTTAGTATGGATGTCACATTTTTTGAAAACAAAGCATTTTTTGATCAAACTTCTCTTCAGAGGGAGAAAGAAATAGGAGACCAATTTTGGGAAAATATTGTGTTACCGATTCCTCTTACAAATTATGATAATCAAAGTAGGGCAGCTGATGTTGAACCTGTCATACCTATTATTTCTACACCTCACAAAGGATCTGAAATAATAAATAATGTGGATCCCACATCTGAACTACGTGTTTACTCGAGAAGAAAAAAGAAGCAAGGTACTGATTCAGTACCAACTCAAGCCGACCTACCGTCTGACCAAAGTATTGTTCCAGGTAACATCATTCCCACAACTTCTTTTCCACATTTCCTTGATCCTATTCTTGAGACTGAGACTGATTCCCATGACCATAATTCACCTCTTGATCCGAGCCTTAATGAACCTATAGCACTTAGGAAAGGAGTTCGTGAGTGCACCAAACATCCTATAAACCGTTATGTGTCATATCACCAATTATCTCCTACCTTTAGGGCCTTTACCACTAGCATAACCGATGATGAAATTCCGAGGACGACACAAGAAGCACTAAGCATTCCAAAATGGAGAGAAGCTGTCCTAGAAGAAATGCGAGCTTTAAAAAAAATGAAACGTGGGAGTTAACAAATCTGCCAAAAGGAAAGCATCTTGTAGGCAGCAAATGGGTGTTCACGATCAAGTATAATTTGGATGGATCAATAGAGAGGTACAAAGCTAGACTCGTAGTTAGAGGATTCACTCAAACCTACGGTCTAGACTATGAGGAGACATTTGCCTCGGTTGCTAAACTCAACACAGTAAGAGTGTTGTTGTCACTTGCTGTTAACCTCGACTGGCCTCTTCTACAGTTTGATGTGAAGAATGCCTTCCTTAATGGAGAGTTAGAAGAAGAAGTTTTTATGCAAGTACCTCCGGGGTTTGATGATGAAAGTGTGGCAGGAAAGGTATGTCGACTGAAGAAATCTTTATACGGCTTGAAACAGTCACCTCGCGCTTGGTTCGAAAGGTTTACAAGGGCTGTAAAGGAAAAAGGATTTCGTCAAGCTCACGCTGATCATACATTGTTCTACAAACACACGGTCGAAGGGAAAATTGTTATCTTAATTGTGTATGTAGATGATATTATAATGACAGGAGATGATGAAGAAGGCCTGGAGAAACTGAAGCTATTTCTAGCTAGGCAATTTGAAATTAAAGATTTGGGAAACCTCAAGTTCTTTCTCGGGATGGAAGTAGCTAGATCAAAGAAGGGAATTGCTCTGTCTCAACGAAAGTATGTGCTCGATTTACTCAAGGAAACAGGTCTTCTTGGATGTAAACCTGCTTCCACTCCTATTGACCCTAACCATAAGTTAGGAAGGTCCGAGGGAGGAGCTGCTGTTGATAAGGCTCGGTATCAAAAGTTAGTGGGAAAACTCATCTATCTAGCTCACACACGACCTGATATAGCCTTTGCAGTGAGTTTAGTCAGTCAATTTATGCATAATCCGGCTGAAGAACATCTGAAAGCTGTCTACAGAATCCTACACTATCTCAAGGGAAGTCCCGGCAAGGGTATTCTATTCAAAAAAAATCACAGTAGGAAAATTGAGGTCTTCACAGACGCAGATTATGCAGGAACTGCGAACGATAGGAGATCTACATCAGCCTATTGTTCATTCGTTTGGGGAAATTTAGTAACCTGGAGAAGTAAAAAACAACATGTGGTGTCAAGAAGTAGTGCAGAAGCCGAGTATAGAGCAATGGCACACGGAATCTGTGAAGCTATTTGGCTAAGGAGCATTCTCAATGAACCGAGGGTGAAGACAGAAATGCCAATGAAGTTGTTTTGTGACAATAAGTCAGCCATCAGTATTGCTCACAATCCTGTCCAACATGACAGGACCAAACATGTGAAAGTTGATCGTTTCTTCATCAAAGAAAAGCTAGAAGGAGGAGAAATTTGTATACCTTACGTTCACACATCAGAGCAACTCGCAGACATTCTGACCAAAGGGCTATACAAACAAACATTTGAAGATTTTCTAGTCAAGCTGGGCATGATTGACATTTTTGCCCCAGCTTGAAGGGGAGTGTTGGACAGAATAATCTATTTTAGGTTATTGGACAGAATCATCTATTTTAGGCGCATAGTAATTGTAATTAATTGTAGAATTGTAGAATTATCTCTTGCCTTGATTAGAATTGTATTTAAGGTAGATTATCTTTTTGATATTGTAGATCCTTTTATTCTAGGGAATCAATTAATTCCCAGGATTTCCAGGATTCTCTCTGTACCTATTTAAGTTCGGTAAATGAGAAGAAAATTAATTCCGCCTATTTTCTTCTTTTAGGAATAATTGTTGAAAGTGTGGACTCAGGTATAATCATCGTCTAAATGAGTATATCATCATTAATCTCGTAAATATTTGCCTTAGATGATGAAAAAGATGTATTTTCATGAAATGATGCATCAATAGAAACAAGATATCGACTTGTACTTCGACAAAAACATTTATACCCCCTTTGAACTCGAGAATAACCTAAGATGAGGATCCAGCTTTGTAAGATGAGGATTAACATCTCTAACAAAACAAGTGCAACCAAATATTTTGGGTGGGATAAGAAAAAGCTCTGTATTTGGAAATAGACAGTGATAAGGAGCTTTACCATTCAAAACAAAAGACGGCATACGATTTATCAAAAAACATGCAGTAGATACGGCATCAACCCAAAACTGTTTAGGCACATTCATTTGGAATAGAAGGGCCCTTGCAGTTTCTATCAGATGTCGGTTCTTTCGTTCCGCAACCCCATTTTGAGGTGGAGTGTCAACGCATGAAGTTTGATGAATAATGTCATGCTGAAGCATAAATGACTTAAATGTAACTAATAGATATTCTTGGGCATTGTCTCCTTTTAACACCCGAACATAAACGTTAAATTGAGTTTTAATTTCAGCACAAAAGGAAGAAAAATGAGTGAAGAACTCATATCGACGTTTCATGAAATACAACCATGTCATACGAGAATAGTCATCAACAAAAGTAACGAAATATTTAAAACCACCTTTAGACACAACCGGGCAAGCATCCCAAACATCATAATGAACAAGGTCAAATGGAGCATTTGCTCGTTTATCAACTCGAGAACTTAAGCTAGTACGATGGTGTTTCGCAAATTGACATGACTCACATTGTAAAGATGACATCTTATTGAATTGAGGATTTATTTGCTTCATTAATGGGAGAGATGAATGTCCTAATCGGTAATGAACCTCTAACAAAGTCCCAAACCCCAAGAAAAAAAATACATTTTGGGATTGATGTATCCAAAATATAAAGACCAACCGACTCATGTCCTTTACCAGAAGTCTGCTTCGTTAAGAGATCCTGAAACACACAATATCCAAGAAAAATGTTATAGAACAATTAAGAGTACATGTGATTTTACTGATGGAAAGCAGATTAAATGCAAAATTAGGAAGACTCAAAACAGGCAATAATGGTAATGTAGAAGTTGGGACAACAATATCGAATCCAAGAACGGGTGAGGTAGATTCGTCAGCCAAAGTGACACTAGAAGTAGGTAAATATGTATGAAATGATGAGAATAGACTAGGATTACCGGTCATATGATTTGAGGCACCTGAGTCAATGATCCATTTCGAGGATGATGAAACAAGACATGTTTTTGAAATACCTGAATTAGCGACTACCGTGATAAGGACAAAGGAATGCTTTAAAGATTCTTGGTAGCAAATAAATTTGGCATACACGTCTGATGAAATAACAATTGATCCATCAGATGAACTGGTAGCGAAAGCAACATAAGCAAGCTGATTTCCTTGATTTTTGAATCGCGAATTGCTACATTTTTTTTATCTAGTGTCCAGGCTTCTTGCAATAATTGCATATTACTCCTTTATCAAATTGACCAGCACAAGACATTTTTTTAACTTCTTTTTTTTTATGTTTTTATCCAAAAATAAAGTAGCAGAATAAACTAAAGGAAGGTAACCTCAATTTACCTAGACTTCCATATTCTCCACGTTAACCGTGGGTAAACAGCGACTTAGAAAAGTCCTCCAAAGAAGTGAAATAAAACTTGTTACCACATTTAAATCCACATATGCGTACTCTGAAGCTTGTCAGAGTGCAAGCATAGATATCTGCAGCCAAGATGCGTGAATAAACTCGTCCTCCCTAATGGTTGTGTTCTTCGCGCTCGTTTCCCTGGCCGTCCTACAAAGGGTAGGCGAGCCGGACAACGGTTTTCGATCGGAAATCTCCACGGCCAATAGATTGCACGCGTCGGCGCGTGAGTGGAGGTCGCCGGACTTGTGGTGACGCATGTAGCACGCTCGCCTTGTAGTTGGGTGTCGGATTTCGGCTGTTGGGTCGTCGGAGGTAGGCGCACCTCCTAAGTATGGCTGTGACAAAAAAATCTTGCTTGAAGAGTATCTGAGTTTCTGAAAAATTAGCAACTAATTGATTTTCTAGAAATTAGCAGCTAAATGGTTTTCTGGATTAAGGCTCTGGTTCTAGTGTTATTTTATGTTCTGGAATAAAAGTCTGGATAGAGGTTCCGTAGAAGTGAGTTTCTTGGAGACAAGAGGGTGTCTAAGGTTCTGGAGTTCACTCAGGTTCTTGGAGAAAGAACCCAGCCTGAATACCGAACTGAAATCTAAAAACTAAACTGGAATGGCTCTGATACCATGTTTAAATATAAACTAGAGTAATATTGAAGAGTGGAGGGAAGATTTTTTGTGTTTTTCAATGGATCCTATAAATATACATTACAAAGATAGAATATTCCTATAAGATTCTATACAATAATAATATCCTAGAGTATCATGGTTGTCAATAACTCTGCCATGATATCAATTTTTTGGTATCATGCATGTCCCAAGCCAGGATAAAGGAGGAGGGTGATGTGGTAGGCATGTGACGGCCAACAGTATTACCTAGTCACATCACATGACATGAATCGAAATATGAATATCGTTAATGCTAGGTCGTCACCTGTAAGTGACGTGTCATCCCTTCGCCTAGGGTGGTGTCAAATATGCAAGGGTGCGCTACACTTCATAGAACCGGGTGTGGTGATAAGAATTCTAAGGTTTCTAGGTCGCCGCCCGAAAGCGGCGCATCATCCCATTGCCCGAGGATGATGTCAAATATGCAGGGGCATGGTGGGGTCCGAGATGGGGCTAAGAACATAAGGTGGAGTGCTAGATTGCATTTTGGGACATGGAATGTTGGGTCTCTTACAGGCAGATCTTCCGAGGTAGTCGAGGTTATGAGGAGAAGGAATATCAGCATTATGTGTGTGCAAGAAACTAAATGGGTTGGAGAGAAAGCACGCGAGATTAATCCCGGAGGTTTTAAGTTGTGGTATTCGAGGAGAGATAAGACCAGAAATGGGATAGGCATTATTGTGGTGCGTGACTATGTTAAGGATGTGGTAGAAGTCTTCAGGAAGAATGATTGCATCATGAGCATTAAATTGGTGATAAGGGGTGAGATTGTGTTTGTGGTAAGTGCCTATGCACCACAAGTGGATTGGATGCATCTACAACTCAACAGTTCTGGGAAGATCTTGAAGACGTGTTGCGACTTGTGCCAAGGGGAGAGAAGTTGATCATAGGAGGTGACCTCAACGGGTATGTGGGCTCGAGTCGTGATGGCTTTGAGAGTATTCATGGCGGACATGGTTTTGGCACTAGGAATGAGGCGGGAAAGAACATTTTGGATTTTGCCTTGACGTATGAGTTGGCTATAATGAATACTTGGTTTAAGAAAAGAGACTCTCACCTTGTAATCTATAAAAGTGGAGCTAATAGTACCCAAATTGACTACTTCTTAAGACGGACCACTTGGAGAACTAGCTACATTGATTGTAAGGTTATTCCAGGTGAGAGTGTTGTCACCCGGCATAGGATGCTTTTGCTTGACTTTTGAGGTAAGAACTATAGAAGACAACTTAAACAATAAGTGGGGCCAAAGATAAAGTGGTGGAGGCTTGAGGGAGATCTTCAACAAAGCTTTACACACAAAATGGTCGGTGAAGATGTGTGGCGTATTGATAATGAAACACATGTGGATGATGTGTGGTTATCAATGGAGTTGACCATTAACAAAGTGGCAAAGGAGGTACTTGGAGAATCTAAATGATGTCTGTCACCTAAAAAGGACATGTCTTGGTGGAATGATGAGGTGAAACAAGCCATAAAGAACAAAAGAGATTGCTACAAAAAGTTGAGAACAAGTTTGGAGTGATGAGAACATAGAAGCATACAAGGAGGCTAAAAGACAAGCAAAGAAAGCCGTAAGGGAAGCACGAGGGAAAGTGAACAAGGAGTTGTATGAAAAGTTGGACTCTAAGGAAGGAGAACTAGATATTTATAGACTTGCTCGTCTTCGTGATCGCAGGACTCAAGATATTGCAAAAGTTAAGTGTGTGAAAGATGTCGATCAGAGGATATTAATGGACGACGGAGAGATAAAAGAGAGGTAGAGGTCATACTTTGATACACTATTCAACGGGAACAAAACGCAAGATATCGGTGATCTGTCCATACTAGATTGTATGGTAAATCGTGATTTTGTGAGAAGGATCCAAACAACGGAAGTTAAAGAAGCTCTGAGGAAGATGGGACGGAAGAAAGCAGTGGGTCCGGATGGCATACCGATCGAGGCTTGGAGAAGTTTGGGAGAGAGAGACGTCGAGTGGTTAACAAGTTTCTTCAACATGATTTGGAGAAACAATAAGATGCCAACGAGTTGAAGGAAGAGTACTCTTATCCCCTTATTTAAGAATAAAGGTGATGTACAAGAATGTGCCAACTATCGAGGGATTAAGCTTATGAGTCACACCATGAAACTTTGGGAGCGAGTGATTGAGCAAAGACTTCGAAGAACTGTGAAGATTTCAGAGAATCAATTCGGTTTTATGCCTAGTCGCTCAACAACTGAGGTCATTCACCTTCTTCGGCAACTTATGGAGAAGTATAGAGACGCTCATAAGGATCTGCATTTGCTGTTCATTGACTTAGAAAAGGCATATGATAGGGTACTTCGAGAAGTTCTTTGGTGGGCCTTAACTAGGAAAGGCATATCACGCAAGTATATCAGCATCATCATGGATATGTATGAGGATTGTACTACAAATGTACGTACTAGTGTAGGGAGGATTGAAGAGTTCCCTATTACTATCGGAGTGCACCAAGGATCGGCTCTGAGCCCTTTCTTATTTGTCATAGTCATGGATGAACTTACGAAGTCAATTCAAGATGATATATCGTGGTGCATGATGTTTGACGACGATATTGTATTGATTGATGAGACGCAATCAGGTCTTAAAGCAAAGTTGGAAGTATGGCGACAAACATTGGAGAATAAGAGTTTCAAACCAAGTCGGAGCAAGACATAGTACATAGAGTACAAGTTTGGTGGAGGTAGAAGCAGTGGTAATAGCGGAATTACTCTGGATGGTAAGGAGATACCAATCAGCGATATGTTCCATTACTTGGGCTCCATAATTCAGAAGAACAGTGAGTTAGATAGAGATGTATCCCATAGAATCAGAACAGGGTGGATGAAGTGGAAGAGTCCGTCAGGATTTCTATGTGATCGAGGTATGCCGACTAGACTGAAGTGTAAATTTTATAGGACAACAATTAAACCTGCATTACTGTATGGCGTAGAGTGTTGGGCAGTGAAACAATGTCACATTCAAAAGATGAGTGTGGCAGAGATGTGCATGCTGCGTTGGATGTGTGGGCATACTAGGAAGGAACGCGTGAGGATTGAGGAATGAGACAATCAGACAAAGGGTGAAAGTAGCACCTATTGAAGACAAGATGCGGGAGTCGCGCCTACGGTGGTTTGGTCATGTGCGTAGAAGACCGAGTGATGCACGTGTCAGACGAGTTGAGATGTGTGGAGAAGAGGCAGGGAAGAGAGGGAGAGGAAGACCCAAACAGACGTGGGTTAAGGGAGTTCGAAGTGATATGCTTCTTCTGGGGTTGGATGAGGGCATGACTTTGGAGAGAGCTAAGTGGATGGCGGGTATTCGTGTGGAGGAGTGATCTCGTATCATCTTTTCCCCTCATCTTTTTTCCCTTGTTTTTTATTCTTATAAATATATAAGCATTATTTGTATCCTTTTTATTTTATCATTTTTATGTATATTCATCTCTTTTTATATTTTCTTTTTATAATAGCTTATCTTTTTTATCTTTATTTTCTTTCTTTTCCTTTTGGTGGTGATATCATGTATCGATTCATGTTAGACGACCCCAATATCTTTTGGGACTAAAGCTTGGATGTTGTTGATCATGGTTGTCAATGGCACGCAATGGCGCTTGCGCCATGCGCCATGAGGCGAGCAAAAGGCCTTTGCGCCATAAAATGGACTGTGGCGCTGCGTATACACATGGCGTTGCCAATTTCTCGCCATCGCCATGGCGATGCGTAGGCTTTTTTAAAATATCAGCGGACATTTGGTCTGGGATTTTGGGGCTGTTGGGCCTGCTGAACTTAACTTGATAAAACTCTAAATAAAATTTAATACTTTAGCCCATTATGAACACACAAAGCCAATTATTAACAACTCTAACATAAGTAAATAAGCACACAAAGCTGCGGACAGTAGAAGTTAAAGCTGCCACTCTGCGACAAACATTTGAGCGTCAAAAGACAGAACCACACACAACCTGCCAGCCTGGGAACTCATTGACTTCTTCCAACTACAAAAGGTATGACTACCCTCTTTAATGCCTCAGTTTATACTTTATAAAGTTTTTTTTACAATAGTTTATTCTTGGGAAAATCGCATATATGGTCCCTCAGTTATCCACGAAATTAAAATCTTAGACTTGTATTTCTGAGATTATAAATGTCACCCCTCAATTGTCCAAAATGTTGTAAATGTGGTCCTTTTGAGGGGTGAAATATACAATGTGGGTGAGAGTACATTTCACCATTTAAAGAACCACAGTTACAACAATTTGGACAATTGAGGGGTGAGATTTACAATCTCAGAAATACAGGTCTGAGATTTTAATTTTGTGGATAACTGAAGGAACATATATGCGATTTTCCCTTTATTCTTTATACAAAAGAGTATATGAAACTTTCATATAATGAAAGCAAGTGTTAAAAAACTTCAGTTCATTTAATACTTCAGTTTGTGTTAGTTTATGTTAAAATGAACTACTTTATACAGACATACAGTTATAAATTACTTTATAGTTTTTACTTTTTACTTTATAGTTTATGTTTATATTAAAATGAAGTGTTAACTAACTTCAGCTAACTGAACCCTCTTTAATGCTCTGTATTAATGAAGAAAACTTCAGTTTATACTTTATACAGTTTTTTTTTATAATAGTTTATTCTTTATACAAAAGAGTATATGAAACTTTCATATAATGAAAGCAACTATTAAAAAACTTCAGTTCATTTAATACTTCAGTTTGTGTAAGTTTATGTTAAAATGAACTAGTTTATACAGACATACTTTATAGTTTTTACTTTTTACTTTATAGTTTATGTTTATGTTAAAATGAAGTTTTAACTAACTTCAGCTAACTGAACCCTCTTTAACCACTTTCATCATTTGGGGAGCTCTGATTGAATGATTTAAATTACTGTATGTTACTTTATGTTCAGACTTCATAGAATTTATGTTAATTTTAAATGAAGTTTTAAATTAACTGAAGTTTTTACTTTTTAACTTGCAGTTTAACTACTTACTACTTCAATTTGATACTTCAATGAAGTTTTTACTTTTGAACTTGCAGTCTTGCAGAAGATGTCTACTGCCTTTGCTACGGAGCATTGTGAGAAACTGAATGAGAAAAACAATAACGACCTGCAATGCAATCACTGTGGGCAGGTTACTAAAGGTGGAATTACTAGGTTTAAGCAACATTTGGCCGGGAGCCACCGCAACGCATAAGAGTGTGCACTCTTTCCTGCTGATAAGAAGGCTGAACTGCAAGCATTAGTGTTGAAAGAATCTGCCGCTGCTAAGTCAGACAAAAAAGTGATTGAATGCACATTTAAGAGTACATATGCAGCAGGGCAGCCCAGTGGATCAAGTGCAAATCGGGTGAATGAAGATGATGACGTTGAAATAATCGATTCTCAGTCAAATGCAGACCAAGCTGGTGTGACTGGACCGATGGATAAGTTCGTTTATCCAACAAAAAAACGGAAGGAGGCATTGATAATGTCAGACGGATGGCAAGATAAAAGGCATCAAACTCTAGTGAACTTGTGCGTGAATTTTAGCTAAGGGGACAGTGTTTATGAAAGCCGTAGATGCTTCATCTTAAAAGAAGACGGGGGAAGCACTTTTCAAGCTTTTTGATGAGTGGATTAAAGAAATTGGTCCTCAAAGTGTCATACAAGTTGTGACTGACAACGCTAAAAACTATGGATTAACGAAGAGGAAAATTGAACAAATATATCCACATATCTTCACAACGGGATGTGCAACTCACTTGTCTTGACCTTGTTCTAGAAGACTTTTCAAAGAAGATGTCAATAGTTAGAAGAACTGTGAAGACAGCGCAGGGGATTACTACCTACATCTACAGCCATACCCTTGTTCACGACTTAATGAAAGAATTTACCAAGGGGAGAGAGCTAGTTAGACCTGCTGCCACCCGATTTGCCACTAATTTTTTAACTCTTCAAAGTCTTCTCACGCAAAAACAAGCATCAAGGCAAATGTTTGCTTCACCAAAATGGTTTGAAAACGAGTTTGCAAAAACCATGGAAGGTGAATCTTGTTTTGATTCAGTTTATCGTCAAACCTTTTGGCGAAGTGTTGCTTATGTTATGAAGATCTCTTTGCCGGTTGTGAAGGTATTGAGAATTACGGATGGGGATTTGCCTCCAATGGGCTTTATATATGAAGCTATGGAGAGAGCGAAATTGGGAATAAAGAACACACTTGGAGGCAAAGTAGAGAAATACATGCCTCTTTGGAAGATAATTGATAAGCGTTGGAATGAGAACCTTCATTCTCCATTACATGGAGCGGGGTACTATCTCAATCCTCAATTCTTCTACCCTAACTCATGGCGAATCCTTGGAGATGAAGAAGTATGTGATGGTTTTGTAAAGTGTGTGGAGAAGATGTTGCCCACTAACATTGGAGAGAGTGTAGAGTTCTCAACTGAGATATCAAACTACACAAATCTAGAGGAAGTTTCCGAACTAAAATGGCAATGAACAATAGGGACAAACAATCACCTGGTATGCAATCTCTATTCTTATTTTAATTACTTATTTTTGGTAATCTGAACGCTACTGTAATGCTTTGTATAAAGTCTATAAACTGTACTAAAACCTACTGTAATGCTAATATAAAAACCTACTGTAAATGTGTAATGCTTTGTATAAACTAACCTACTGTAAATCTGTAATGCTTTGTATAAACTAACCTACTGTAATGCTAATATAAAAACTATACAAACTGTAATTGAGTTGACTTACCGGAGCCTGAGGTTTTAAAGACACTTGCCTACTTTGCTATGCCTACTGTAATTGCTAATATAAAAACCTACTGTAATTGACTTTCTGAAATTTTAAGTATTGTTAATTTATTAGTGATTTAGTTCTGAAACTTTTAAGTATGTTTAGTTCTGAAATTTCAAAACATTAAATCCAAGTATTGTTTTATAGATTATTGATTAGCATTTGGTTGAAATTTGAAAATATAGTGGACTGGTGGCTTGGAAACGGCTCCTCGTCTCCCACTTTGCAACATCTTGCTGTTCGGGTCCTTAGTTTAACTTCCAGTGCTTCTGGATGTGAAGGAAACTGGACTGCTTTTGAAAATGTAAGTTCATGAAACTGTCTATCATATTTAGTTTACGTTATCAATACTTCATTCATTATCTACTTGTTTTAGGTTCAAACCAAGAAAAGGACAAGGCCAAAAAAATGAATGATTTGGTATACATTCAGCAGAATCAACGTCTTCAAGATCAAGATTTCAAAAAAATAAAAGTATGTTTGGATGACATTGGCGATTGCAATGAATGGATTGATGAAGCTGCCGAGCAAAATGAAATGGAAGACCGGGATGTAGTGGAAGAAGTTGTTGGTGTTAATGAAGCAAATCACAATACAAGAGCAACAACATCAAGGGCATCAACACTTCAGTTGCACGACGAAGAGGAGACGGAGGAGACAGAGGAGGCGGAGGAAATGGAGGAAATGGAAGAGGTTGCAGATCCCTCTGATGATGAAATGAATGAGGATGGTGTGCCATTGCTAACGGATTCAGACCAGGATGATGAGTGCGATGATTGATGATGATTATGGCACAATCATCAAACAAAAACAAGTTAACAAACCTAAATCTAACATATTTTGCAAGACATGAAAGTTTTTTTGAATAATATGTTTTTTGGAAGTACTTTAAGCTATTTTAACTTCACATGTTTTGGTTAGAACGTTGTTATTCAACTTTTTTATCATGTTTCAACTGTTTTCGTTTTGAAGTTTTTTTTGTCACGTGGCGACGCCATATTTGCGCCATCACCATCGCCATGTGAAATGGCTTGTGCGCCATGCGCCATGACAGTTAAGAAAAAATGTCCTGAAACACACAATATCCAAGAAAAAATGTTACAGAACAATTAAGAGTGCATGTGATTTTACTAATGGAAAGCAGATTAAATGCAAAATTAGGAAGACTCAAAACAGACGATAATGGTAATGCAGAAGTTGGGACAACAGTACCGAATCCAAGAACGGGTGAGGTAGATCCGTAAGCCAAAGTGACACTAGAAGTAGATAAATAAGTATGAAATGATGAGAATAGACTAGGATTACCGGTCATATGATCTGTGGCACCTGAGTCAATGATCCATTTCAAAGATGATGAAACAAGACATGTTTTTGAAATACCTGAATTAGCGACTACCGAGATAAAGACAAAGGAATGCTTTAGAGATTCTTGGTAGCAAATAAATTTGGCATACTCGCCTGAAGAAATAACAATTGATCAATCAAATGAACTGGTAGTGGAAGCACCATGAGCAAGCTGATTTCCTTGATTTTTGAATCGCAATTTGCTACATTTTTTATCAAGTGTCCACGCTTCTTGCAATAATTGCATATTACTCCTTTGTCAAATTGACCAACACAAGACATTTTTTAACATCTTTTTTTTATTTTTTTAAATGTTTTTTTTTTCTAAAAATAAAGCAGGAGAATAAAGTAAAGGAGGGTAACCTCAATTTACCTAGACTTCCGTATTCTCCACGTTAACCGTGGGTAAACAGCGACTTAGAAAAGTCCTCCAAAAGTGAAATAAAACTTGTTACCACATTTAAATCCACATGTGCGTACTCTGAAGCTTATCGGAGTGCAAGCATAGATATCCGCAGCCAAGATGCGCGAATAAGCTCGTCCTCCCTACTGGTTGTGTTCTTCGCGCTCGTTTCCCTGGCCGTCCTACAAAAAGTAGGGGAGCCGGACAGCGGTTTTCGATCGGAAATCTCCACGGCCAATAGATGTCACGCGTCGGCGCATGAGTGGAGGTCGCCGGACTTGTGGTGGCACATGTAGCACCCTCGCCTTGTAGTTGGGTGTCGGATTTCGGCTGCTGGGTCGTCGGAGGTAGGCGCACCTCCTGAGTATGGTTGTGACACAAAGTCTGGGTTGAAGAGTATCTGAGTTTCTGAAAAATTAGCAACTAATTAATTTTCTGGAAATTAACAGCTAATTGGTTTTCTGGATTAAGGTTCTGGTTCTAGTTTTTTTTATGTTATGGAATAAAAGTCTGGATAGAGGTTCCGTAGAAGTGAGTTTCTTGGAAACAAGAGGGTGTGTAAGGTTCTGGAGTTCACTCAGGTTCTTGGAGAAAGAACCCAACCTGAATACCGGACTGAAATCTGAAAACTAAACTGGAATGGCTATGATACCATGTTTAAATATAAACTAGAATAATATTGAAGAGTGGAGGAAAGATTTTCTGTGTATTTCAATGGACCCTATAAATATACATTACAAAGATAGAATATTCCTATAAGATTCTATAGGATAATAATATCCTAGAGTATATTCCTAAAATATTCTAAAGCATATTCTAAAGTATATTCTAATATCTTTCACAACATAAACTCTATACTCGCCCATTTTCCAATCTTTCAAACTACACTTGAACCAAATTCTATATTGTATAGGTCTAAACAAATTCTAAATGTGGACGATTGATGTCTTTTCTACCTTTCCTCTCTTTTTTCTTTTATCGTTTATCTTCTTTATCTTTGTATATTCTTATGTTATTTTTATATTCTAGCTTTTTATGCTCTTTTTTTATCTTTTATCTTTCTTATATTCTTGTGTTATTGTTATCTTATATTCATTTATCTTTATTTTATTCGTTTTATCTTACTTTTTTTCTTCCCTTTCTTGTCCGTCTTCTCTGTTTGGCATCGATATCATTGATCGATTCATATTAGCCGACCTAAATTCTTTAGGGATTAAGGTTTGGATGTTGTTGTTGTATAGGTCTAAACATCTCAAGCTAAATCTTATGCATAAAAAACAAATCTTGCAAAACTCATTTCTACCCAAAATAGTAACTAAATCTACCGAAGAAGATAGAGAAAATGGATGAAGCCTCGAGGGAGGCAAACTATCCTCCACATACGCAGTTGCATGATCTGTGAGGCGCATCCAACTTAATGAAGAGAAATATTGATAAAAAAAATTAATTGTAGCACTTACACTAAGCAATACAGCTGTCTCGAGAGCATGCGAAGATCTAAATGTCACATATGCTGTACCACCATGTTCTCCAGCTCTGCATTTATTACCAACAACATTATCAATACTCAGAAAAAAGACTATTTCAATTTACCCGAGGCGTGAGGTGAAGGCGCGTGCCTCACAGAACTTAACCGTATAACTTTGGTAAAATTATTTATACTAATTCTACATGAAACCCTCTTCTCAAAAAATGATAACATCACCAAAATATGTTAAACCATTAGACAATCTTAACAAACACCTTTAAGAGAAACAAAATATTGATTCAGACAGTAGCAACAAACACATTAAACGCCAAAAGCCAATCATAAAATTGAATCTTAAAACTCCAAGATGTAATTTTATACTGTTAAAGTAAAAAGTTAAACAATCTGAGTGTACGAACCATCTTTATTATTGCTTTAAAATTTATAACTATGTGACTGGGATTAGTGTTTAGGGCAGATTATTATATGATTATCATCATTACCCCAGTGCCGCAAAGGTTGCCACCTATAGTGGGGTAAACGGGGTTGGATGTACGCAACCTTACATCTGTACTAAAGCACAAAGAGACTATTTTCGGATGACTCATGGTAAAAATCGCGTCGAAAATTGCATGGACCGACCGTTGCTTCATAACAAAGACGCGCATACAACTTAGTGAGTCATTTTGCTTTATTACATCATATTTCCAAGCCAAAAAATAGTGAGTCTTTCGCTCCCATGCAAATGATGGAAATTGTTATATGATCACATATTTAAATATAAATAATTTAAACTATTTGATATTTTAAAAAATTGAGAAAAAAAGAGAAGAAAGAGTAAAAGGATCCAATACCAGCTTCTCTCTCGCGTAGTTCGGTGCAAAAAAAAAAAGTAAAAGGATCTAAAAAAATAAAGCTTACGTGCGACACTAGACATGAGCGGAAGAAAGAGGATAGGATATAGTGGAAGCATAGGAGAGGCAGAATATTAGAGAGAAAACTTAGAGTTTGATGGAGTCAAGGAACCTCACCCCATCAATATATAATACCTACAGAACTTTGGAACTATATACGTGAATCGTCAAGAGTTCGAACTAGGCATGTGGATCGCCAAAAAGAAAGATGAGCAGACACCTTCTCAGAGGCGCCAGAGGCGCAAAAAGCAACAAAAGACGAGGTATGGGGCACACCTCTTAAGATGTTTTCTTTTGGACTGTTTTCAGTACCAGACCAGACTTAAACAGACCAGACCAGGCTTCCATAGTTATAAAATACACAGAGATCAGACATTTACTAGACCGGACTCCAACACACCAGACCAACAAATTTCTGTACAAAAGAAAACATCCTTAGAATCTTTTGCGTCTGGGTTTCTTGGATATGACATGCACATCGCCTAGCGGCGCCTTGCGCCTTTTCGCACCTTAGATGAGCTTTTTTAAGACAAGCATCATAAATGGCAGTATATTCCAAACATGGTAGTAATTACTCTTATTTAGGGATGATATATAGTACTCTTATTTTAGAAAATCACATTGCTTTTACTCCTATTTACGGCAATTTCTAAATGTAAGAAATAACATCCAAGTATTTTTCATTGCGATGATTAAGTTATCAACTATAAATTAGGTAGACAACATCAGTTATCTACCTAAGGACTGAACATGTGATCATAAGATGAGTACTACAAGATATTAGAACAATCAGTGGTGGAGGTGGAAATGTGGAGTTAAGGGAGCCGAAGCTTCAAAATAATTATATTGCGGGGCCAAAGCTTAAAACACCAACATATTTATTACAAAAATATAAATATTTATATAGATATATACATAAGAAATTTCCATCATTCGTAATGGAGCCAAAGATTTACTATTTTTTTGCTTGAGAATATGATGGAATAAAGCAAAATGGCTCACTAAACTGTCTGCGCTTCTTTGTTATGAAGTATCAGTCAGTCCATGCAAATTTAGACGCGATTTTCACTATGGGTCATCCGGAAACACTCTCTGTGTTTTAGTACGACGTACATCTGACCTCCCTTACCCTAAGCCCTTGTGGCACTGGGGTAATGATGATGATGAGATATATACATAAAGAATTTTTCTTGGGGGGGGGGGGGGGGGGAGGCCCCCTCCAGCCCATCCCTGAAGCGTGCTAATGAAGCTGTAAAACCGAACAAGCAAAAATAGCAATCACACTATTAGGTATGTTCAATATTCAGTTATGAGAAGAAATTGAGCATTACTTAGTAGAATGACCAACATCAACGTCAAATCTAAAAAGAAATTAATAGACCCAAACCAAACAAACCTTTTATGTACTACCTGACAATCTCCACATGATCAATCTTCCCACAAAGAGCGAAGAAATCATTGATGTGCTTCTCAGTAGCAATTGGGGACAGGCTTGTAACTTCAGCAGTGTAGCCACCTGGACTCATGGATATTGGTTCTACAGACTTCAATGGAAAAGGTGTGAAGGTTCCAGTGAGAAACAAAATCAGGAGATGATGGCATGACACTAAAAAATTCAGTTCCAGATTACACAACTAGTTGAAAGATACAATTAAGCATACATTAGTACCAGAGAGAAACAGAGTTCATAGCAGAACCGTGTCCTCTTCAAGCTTTCTTAAAGGGCAAAAATTGCAATACATGTTGAGCACTGAATAAAAGTTCCCAATCCCATTGCAGATCAGTACAGATACCGAATAAAACTACTGAAATCATTTCCTTGAAGCGGATTTATCATAAAAACAGAAAAAAAAAGAATAAATAGATTACGTTATTAAAACAACAACTGAAACAAGCGCAAATCCCTAATTCGATAGCTAACTGCACAGTTAGTCGCAAGCTGGACCACAATCAAAGATTTATTTCTTAGAACTTCATTCCAGCAAAGAAATTGATGAACCAAAGCAGTATACAATTATAACCGTATCACTTCTTGAGTTTTGAAATTAAGTAAATACAAATAGATCGTTCAACCGAAAGCTTGCAACTCCGTAATTAACTACAAGGATAACGTCCATTTGATAAGATGTACTGGTTACATGCCTTTGGTTAGAGAAAATATGAGATGTTCTCAGACAACCCCCGAAGCGAATATGGCAGAAGGTAAGGGAGGAACTGATCGAGAGAAAAGATTCAAGAATTTCGAAACCTAACTATTTGTTGATTACTGTTGTTGTTCATATCAGTATAATCAGCAGCTCGACATATGATGGTCAACTCAACGTCCGCGCCAACTATTTAGAGCGAGTGCATTTTGAAGAAATTTCACTGTACAAACTTATTACTTTTACAAATAAAGATTGTATGATAAAAGAAATTTCTACATAAGTTTATCAACGGTAAATAGGTTTACAAAAAAGTGAATAGGATGAAAAAAGAATATGTAAATCTTGTTATACAAAAGCAAAATGAAAACTGCATAGTGTTCCCACCCAAAAAGTGTACAGTAATGGGCCGGGCCTGTTAAAGTGGGTCCAAAATCAGGTCATGCTGAATCTGTGTGTTGGTGCTCGGTGATTGTAAATGTGACCCAATGACCAATGCAATTTTATTAGCTTAAGAAATTACTTTATTGGCTCAATGAAATAATGTTGAATAGAGGCTGCAATTCTAAAAAATGGGGGCATTGTACTCGAAATTCCAAAGGCCACACATTTAATCTTTTTGCCTTTCTTGAACCACACAACATTAAATACAATGTACTAGCTCTAATAGTAAATGACAACTTTACATTGAATAGAGTGCTGCAATTCTAAAAAAAATGGGGGCATTGTACTCAAAATTCCAAAGGCCACACATTTAGTCTTTTTGCCTTTCTTGAGCCACACAACATTAAATACAATGTACTAGCTCTAATAGTAAATGACAACTTTACATTGAATAGAGTGCTGCAATTCTAAAAAAATGGGGGCATTGTACTCGAAATTCCAAAGGCCCGGTGATGGTTAATCCGTATTTTGTTGCTCAGTGATGGTAAATGATGGCCCAGTGAGCAATGCAGTTTTAGTTGAACAGGGGGCTGCAATTCTAATAAAAAATGGGGAGCATTGTACTCAAAATTCCACAGGCAACACATTTACTCCTTTTGCCTTTCTTGAGCCACACAACATTAAATGCAATGTACTGGCTGTAATAGTAAATGGCAACTTCACATTTAATTGGGTGTGCCTTGACCAATGGTTATTACACAATTACACAATTTGTTCTACACCACTTCCTCCCTTTCCCAATATAAATACCCATTGAAGGGGTCAGAAACCACACCACAACCAAGCTAATCTCTTTTACATTCTCTGTGTTTTCAAGTTTCCTAAGTAATTTGTGAGCTATGACAGGTTCCTCAACACAAAGAGGCATGTGGTCCCTGATCAAGGATGTTGATCATACCAAGACCACTTGGGCCTTAAGGGTGCGGGTGATCAGAGCATACGAAGTCCCACCTCACTCAAAAGGGGGGCAACACTCGAGATGGTGTTGCATGATGAGCTGGTAGAAAAACATATTCACAGATTTTCATTTTGATATCAAAAACATATAATATCATATTATCATAATAATATTATTACTATTATTATTATTATTATTATTATTATTATTATATTCACACTGCCCACATTTTGATATTTAGGGAGACCGCATTCACGCTATAATAAAGAGGCCACAGGTGGAGGTTTACAAGACCATGATCAAGGAAAACAAAATTTACGCTCTAAGGACGTTTTTGGTCCTGTACAACTACCAAACTGTCAAAACAAGTGACCATCCTTACCTGATTCAATTCATCAGCAAAACTCAGTTCACCGAAGACACTAGGACAGAGTTGCCAATGATGGTGTACGACTTTCAGCCATTTGACATGTTGCAGGCTCAACACGTCGTCAACGACAAAAAATTGATTGGTGAGGACAACCGAAAACTTTTACGTTTTAATTTACTGAAATAAATATCTTATGCTGGAATTTGGTTATAGATGTCATAGGCAAAGTCATATGTAAGAGCGGCGTTCAAAACCATATCATAAGTGGAAGAGCTGAAAGGATGATGGAGTTGACATTAGGAGACCCTGAGTGAGTTTTGTTTAAACATTTTTATACAATCTAAACTTAAGAGAGAAATGGTTATGGAGCATGAATAATATTTATTATTAAATAACTTTTATAAATTGCAGAGGGAACAGACTCAGATGTGTATTGTGGAACAAGTACATAGACCAGTATATGGAGTATGTGACCGAGAATGTTGGTGTGCCTGTGTATGTAATTTTCAGCTATGCAGGCCAAAGAGATACCAAGGTAATCCCTTTTGTAGGGATGTTTATGACTCCTGCCATCAGGCCAAAACAATATGATTCTAAAAAAGTAATTACTCATGACAGGCACCCTATCTGTATCATCTTCATTTGATGTGTCGAAACTGATAATCAATGGGAACTCAAGCGAGTTTATTGAGTTTCAAAGCGAGTAAGAATTTTTTTAAAAGTAGGCATTGTAATGAAGGCTTATAAAAACTATACTCATAATGAACTCTGCACTATGATACAGATTTCCTGTAGATGGTGATGACAGCGTGACAGCCACAGCCGTCTCACAATCTTCCCATGGTGATGGGAGCCGGGAAGATGTCCTTGTGGGCTAAGCTGTCATAACGACTATTCAGGAATTGGTTAAGGCTACAGAGGTGTGTACAAGATGACCTATTCTTTTAGGTGACGACATTTTCAACGCTTATGTCAAATATTGTGTTTACAAACAGGATGGGGTTTACTGGATCATCGGAGACATTGTGTCTCTTGAAAACTACAGAGAATGGTGTTACCTAGGCTGTCCCACATGCCACAAAAAACTAAAACCAGAGGATGATAGGTTCATGTGTACCAATTGCCATGTCACAACGGCAGATGGGGTGTATCGGTAAGAGAATTGCTATTGTATGTAGCTATGATTTGTATGAATCGAGTCCACTGAAAAATATTTGGCATTCATTTTAGGTACAAAGTCAGCATTTGCATCATGGACTAGACTGGTCATTCAACCTTCATTCTGTGGGACAGGAAATGTATTGAAATTATCAAAATTAAAAAACTTTATGACTAATGCAAATGGTTTGAATAAAACAGAAGACTGAAGACCAAACTCGATTTCCAGAAGACATAGAAAGCTTGGTTGACCAAAAGGGCCTGTTTAAAATACAATTGAAGATAAAAGTGAGGAGAATACTTACAAGAAAACAAAGTCATTTACTGTGGTGACCATGATAAGAGACCTTAAGGTTCTGGCATTGTATGAAGCGGATAAGGAACAACAATCAGTTCATGACACTCCAACTGAGAAGGTATTTTCAATGGTTTTGGAGTTTATAGAAATTTACTTTTGGGTGCTTCATAGTAAAAGTATATGTTTCGTATAATAGAAAATAATGACCGATACCTTAAATTTAGATTGGGTCAAGTCTCCACAATGGTGAAAGTTCTACAACGAGGAAAAAAGGGAAAGATGTGCAAAAACAAGAGGTATACCAACTGTATTACTCTTATATATTTGTATAAGTAGGGTTATATATTAAAGAGATATGCTTACATTTTTTCTTAAAAAGGTTGTCGAGGCAATTGACCTCCCAGACTCACCCCCACTGGGTACGCAGAAGGTGGTGGAGGTGGAAATGGATGGACAACTCAAAAGGAATCTGATAGATGAATTCTCTACAAGTGGTGTTGTGAAGAAGCTGAAGATAAAAATTAAAGAAGAACCACTCTGAAGAACAAAGGCCAGTCTGTTGGTCGGGACTTATATTTTGTACTGAGGCATCCTTGGAGTTATATTTTGTTTTGTGGTGTTGGGTTGTAGCCTAAAACACTATCTTGGGCATGATTGTGTCTTACTTTCGGCAGTGTGGACAAACTAAGCATGGCACTATATTTCTCATATGGGAACTAAGTACTATTTTGAAAAATTGTATTATCGATATGATGATGTGATATGTTTATTTTGCAGGACACGGGCAACACTTCAGCAGTTTGTGAGAATAGATTTAAAAAATATTACTTCAATGTTTATAAATGAGTGTCTCCAGGTCCTGTGAATTTCATTCAGGTCATGGGAGTACATAAGGATGAGGCTAAGGTCAAGGACAGTGGACCTTGTAAAGTCCACCGAGGGGATCTAGGAGGCACTAAGCATGAGCTTTATATTAAGTCCAAAATGTAAATATTATTAATGTTGTAAAGCAATGGTTTTAATGGATGAAATGCTCAGCCATGTTCAGTTTGCTATGTAAAAGAATGCTATGTAATGGATGAAATGTTATGGAATGCTATGTAATCAATGAAATGTTATGGAATGCTATGTAAGAAATGAAATATTATGGAATGCTATGATGAATGTTTTTTTTGAAAACATACATGTGGAGTTAGCAATAATGAATGTTTAATTCATACATATGAAATATGATTATGTATAGCTATTATGACAAATGCTATATAAAAAAATTTAAATGAGTAAAGTTTACATGTTTTCACATTCAATACAGAATTAAATATATATTAGATGAGATGCAGATGAAAGTAAATCAGAAATTAAGGAGTTCATGGGTTACCGATGTTCAGGCCAACGGACTGCCAGACCACGCAGTTCCGAAGGCCACTATGGTGGCTGGCAGGGTATCTGGAAGTCCTATGGGATGGGCCTTAACAACCAGTAACAACATGACCACCATACCTGAAAATATTGATAGTGAAATGAGATGAAAAAAGTGTATGAAGCGTCTTTTAAACAAAATTAATTCATAAGTTAACATTAAATGACTGAAATTCCTTACAATTATTGTAGTCTTGCATCATTTGTAAACAACAGAATGACATTTTTGTCTAAATAACAGCTCTTGAATGAAGAAGATTACAAAAAGCACAACAATCAACCGTAAAAGAAGTCTTCAAGACTTGACCAACAAAGGTAGTTTTGTATACACTATCAATGTCTTTTACATTTGTAAAACAAGGTACATAAAAAGAGGCTCAGAAACTATTTGTGATACAACCCTAAATGAGGGTTAAGTCTATACAGAATAACTATCGAACATTAGGGTTTCAAACTTAAGAAATCAGATTCAGATTTTAGAAATTGTGAGCAATTGAAATTTAGGCAAGGTTGATTAGGGTTTCAAAGTTTAGAAATGAGATTCAGATTTTAGTTACTGACAAAGATTCAGATTTGTAGAAGGGGAGATGCACGTACAGTCTGTACAAAAACACTTTTGAACATTAGGGACAATCCAGTTTGTGAG